TTAAAGGTCAAAGCCAAATAACAGAGAGTAATTAAAGATTTAAAACTGAAAATGCTTTGGAATGTAGAATTGTCTATACATAACTTGCTTGTTCCCATTAAAAAAAAAGTATTTTAATTCAATAATAGCGGGTACCTTAAATATAATTCTTCTTTATTTGAATAGGAACACGGCGCTTCGTTTTTTGCAAAGCTATATTATGTATGTAAATTTTAGAACCTCAAATGAAATTATAGAAAGAGTTCTCCATAAGGATTTTTACAGAGATTCGAAGGAAAATTTGAATATTGTTAGTTAAATTTTTGACTAAATAGATTCGAATCCCAGCGGTGGCTGGTTGATACGAATTCTGCTCCCGGCTCGTACCGACCACAGTGCTGGCGTAAAATATCCACAATGGTGGATGAATCATGGGTTAGAATCCTTTTGCCGTTAGGCTAGCCAAGTATGTTTTCGTATTTTTCCTCTCCATCTAACGCAAATGTGGGTTCATTCTCTTAAAAAACAGTTTTTCACTATTGCCAATTTATCTCTATACTTGATTCAGAAGTTCCCCTGTCTTCTGGGATGGGTCTAAAATTACAAGACTACGGAGTAGAACATTGATAGTCGTAAACTCAGAATTGGGTAAGCTATTGCCGGTTATAAAAATAATAAGAAAATAAAATAAAAATCATTGTTTAAATTTGTTAAATTATCTAATTGTTTTCCCATTGTTATTTATATAATTTCTGTTTATTTATAATTTCGCACTAAATTCTTTATGACACAGATTGTAACATTTATCATTATCATCATATATTTCTGACCGATCGCCTGAAGCTATTTACGACCCTTTCCCCATTCATCTTGGAGATAGTGACATAGAGGTGGTTCGCTCTACTGACTAGAATGTAAAGATTCTTGCTAATTTGATAATGAGATAGCCTTACCAGAGTACTGGGAAAACTAAAAAGCTAGTGTAAAAATCTTTTTAAAAAATCTCTAAAAGTTTCAAAATTTCGTCAATTATGAATATTATTTATTAACTTTTTATCAATTTTTTAATGGATAATAACTATGATTTCTATTTGAGAATCTCGATTACAAATGTTTATTATGCAAAGTATTTTAAACTGGAAAGGTAATTATAATTTTAAAAATTTTACAACGAGTTTTTTTCTAGTTTTTCTAAGAAGCTGAGCTTTCAAAAAAATAATCTCTGTTAAACAAATAAATTTTGCGCCGGCACCCTATTTTGAACACATTATTGCTAACCAAAGCTAAAATTATTATTATTATTATTATTATTATTATTATTATTATTATTATTATTTTAAATTGTGAAGGTTTGAACTCCAGTTTCTAAACATATGTCTTGATTATTTACATGAGCAATTTCTTGTGACATTAGTAACCACTTTTTTCAAAAGAGTTTATTAAGGGGAAGATAACTAAAAAACTCAAAAATTTGGTAAACTTCGAAAGTTGCTTACCACGTGTCATTTCCAAGGATACGTATCTCCAGTTGGTAGAAAAAACATTTCTAGCACTCATAGATGTCAACTTTTGGGCAAAAAATTTCATAAAGGGATTGAAAGTTTAATACTAAAGTTTGTAGACATTTAATTAATTTTGAAAATATAGTAATAGTCTCACTACGAGATAACAGGAACTAACTGGTATTCTATATAAATGTTAAAATTATTTATTTGTTGTGGTGCGAAAAATAATTCTAAATCGAATTTACTAACAAGGGAAACTAGGGAAGTGTGACTCGCCAATTTTGAACTAAACTGGTGGGATGTATGCCTTATGAGGAATAATTTTAGGGGGCAACATTCGTTTCGGCCCATAGAAGGTCCTGTGAGAGATAAAAAATAATTCAATATATAGAAAAATTGGTATTTTATTACTTCAATGCAGACTTTTAGTTATTGTAATTGTCTCATAATCTAATTAATTTGTAATTAATTGGATAATTAATTAATTTGCTAATTAATAAATTAATTAACATTTGTTTCGGCCCATAGAAGGTCCTGCGAGAGATAAAAAATAATTCAATATGTAGAAAAATCGGTATTTTATTACTTCAGTGCAGACTATTAGTTATTGTAATTGTCTCATAATCCAATTAATTTGTAATTAATTGGATAATTAATTAATTT